AAATGGAGCAAGTTTGTTTTCGTAGCTCACGTAGCTACTGCTACGACACTCCCACTGCTACGATAAAAATGTCGTAGCCACTGAAGAATAAATGGAGCAAGTTTGTTTTCGTAGCTCACGTAGCTACTGCTACGACACTACTACTACTACTACTACGACAGTATCGTAGCTGCTGGCGAAAAAATGGAGCAAGGAGTTTGTTTTCGTAGCTACTGCTACACTACTAACTGCTACGATAGAAATATCGTAGCTGTTGGCGATAAAAAAAAGCAAGTTGGTTCATGTTTTCAATGCTCACTTCTACGACGCGACACTACTACTACGATATTAATGTCGTAGCTGCTGGCGAAAAAATGGAGCAAAAAGAGTTTATGTTTTGCGTTCTGTTGCCAAATTTTAGAGAAGGCAGCCCTAGCTTCTTGGCCTCCCTGTAGAGGTTAATAAAGGCTGGTTATGGTGAGCTCACTAGGGTCGTGCGGCGCCTGCAGGCCGCCGGCGCGCGCGTCCAGCGCCGGTACTCGCGCCGCGAACTCCGCGCACTTGCGGCTGGCTAACTCGCCCGCGGTCACGCGCGTCTTCTTGCCGCACACCTGGGAACATGTTTATGACGTGTACGACATTATGAAAAAAAACTTTTTTGATGATGTTGGCAATACATATAAGTGATACGAGTTACAAAGATCAAGTAATGATATAATGAAGGATGATAGATGATACCCCTTCCCACCCTTTAAGTCTCAGTAAAGTGGTGGTGCTTTACTGAGACCTCCTATGGACAACTTGAGAGAACCAAAATATCACGATGCACTGTTTTGCTTCACTTGCCCACACTCATGCACGTTCACGAACACTCAATGGTTACTAATCCACCATTATCACACATTTATAGTCGCCCAAACACGAATTTGAGGAAATAAAACAAAACCGCTAACATGACGCTTCAGATTCCCGCCAAAAAGCCGTATTAAATGTTATTACTCACTAAAGTTCAAATTTTAGTGGCAACAAATCTGCCACCACCAGGTAATCAGGTATAGGCATGGAATGTGGTTTGTCTTCTAAGGGGATACGTGCCGCAGCTTTATTAGCTGTGAAGCGCATTATTGCCTCTATATTTTCAAATGTACCAAGATTTTATGATGGCATTCATCATCTAAATAAATTTTATTAGCTCTATCAACTTTATATCGAGACAATAATAATGAAACTACCCAACTCATGATTGAGGGTTTTCGCGAATGAAAAATCCGCTAGATGGCGGGACGTGGATGTGGGGTCTGACTGCTGCGTGATTGGTGGATTTTGACATATCTGTAAATGTCATGTCAAAAATAACCAATCATGCAGCATTTGGACCTCGCGTCTACGTATTGCCACCTGGCGGATTTTTCATTCGCGAAAACCCTCATCGTAATGTCTGTCAAATGATTACGATTGCTTTACACAATTCCACCTCAGATCTAATAAAATATTTGAATTTTAATTTGAAACCTACTTATCAAACGAATCTAGCTATGAACCCACCTTGGAATCATCGCAGAGCACAACATCATACCCCGTCCCGCTGCAGCCCTCAGCTAACGAACACACTCGGCGCCTCTCGCGAAAGCCGCGCGCGCGCGCCGTGCAGCCCGAGCGGCAGGCCGCCTCTCGCCAGGCGCCCCAGCCGCCCTCCCCCGCTTCCCCTGCTCCCTCCTCCGGTCTAGGGGCTGGGCTGGTCGTAGGACCGGCTCCGGCGGGGACGCACTCCCCACCTTGACACCACTGGAAGCAGGTGCAGATGATGTGATGGAAATAACTTAGACCTCAGGTTACACCTGATAGTTGTATCGTGGATGGAAGACGACCTCAAACTTGTGACAGTGTAAAAAAACCACCAGTAAACCTAAGATGCGCGCCGCGATAAGCGGTTATCACGCCATTTTATCGATTTTGCCCATACATTTTGACGTCGATGAAAGTTATTACGGCGCGCATCTTAGGCCTACTGAACTACCTACTTTTCTCTACGAATCTGGTACAAGATCTGATCATAGAGTGATTAAATATTTTGAAGATAGCGCAACACACGTACAAAATTGTATGTTAGCAATTGTGATGAAAGGTGAATTTGCATTAGTTTATTGTACCAACTCGTCGTTTCATGAGCACTTGAAGAAAATATATTTTCTTGTCTAGCCCACATGTCTGAAATCTTTTTTTTTTTACATAAAGATCTAACCTTCTGATTCCCGCAAGGCGTCCCGGGCAGCGCAGGCCCGGCGTAGTAGAACCCGGCGCGGTGAGGCGTGCGGCAAGCCAGCTGAGCACACTGCTCGCCGGCGGGGCCCAGCGGTGACGGCGCTGCGTCCGAGTCGCGAAGGAGGATCTGGAATCAACGCCCGAATATCTCTCATTTATGAGTTTCAAGCTAATAATGATGACTATTCTGCTACAAGCGATATAAATTCAAAGCAACACTGAAATATTTATTTGCGTACCTAGGTACATCTCTGTAATTTAAACCCTAGACCAGCATCTACTGTTTGTTTGCCAACTTATTTGAAAAGACGAGCATCTGCTGTTAATGTATCTTCACCCTGAATGCCTGAAGTACTTATTAAGTATTAAGTTTTCAAGTGAGCTTGTGTTTTCCTGTGCTACGAATTTAGCCAGAAGATTATAATCTTACTTATAAAAGCAACTAGGTACTCACCTCGCACTGTTTTTTGGCATTCCAAATAGCTCCCGGTGCTTCTCCGAACTTCTCGTGCTTGAGCTCGTTGGGGGTGTCCAAGTCATCAGCTCCGTCAAAAAGACATGTTGCCCATCTTAATCATAGAATAGATAAATACATGTAACAAAGTTCTACTTGCGCATCTTTCGGCGATAGTGGCAGAGTGAGTGAAATATTTGTGTCAGACAAATACGAAGCGCAAGTGGAATTTTAACGATTAATTTATAGAACCTCCTAAGCTTGAGCTTACTCATATTAAAGTGCATCTTTTAAATAATTTATTAAACTTTTGGAACTGATTTAGGGTGGTTTTACAGAGACGCTTACGTCCGCGCGGTTGGTCATCATCGCGGGTCTTGGATCGTCACATAGTTTGCATGTAACCACGTGTAGTAATGTATGTAGTGGCCCGCGACGCTGACCAACCGCGCGGGCATAAGCGTGACTGTAAAACCACCCTTAATCAGCTATGAAGAAAAAGTACGTACTGCAAGTCCGAAACGACCTGCGCGCTGCAGACGGACCAGGTGGCCTCGCCGTTGGTGCCGCGCGAGGGCGACATGATGTAGCCGTCGCGGGCGCAGGAATTGCCGCTGCCGTCGTGGTGCATGCCCAAGCTAAACAGTAGTTTGGAAATCTCGTGTTAATAGTTTTACAAATAGGTACAGTGCCTAATAGCTCCCTACTGACAAAAATGTTAGAAATGTAGAGACAATTTAATTCTGAAAGAAAAGAATCAAAGCGATACTGTCTCTATATTTAAGTCATTTCTTGGCTGTATGGTAATTATATTAAATAGCACAAAAGCAACACGTAGTAGTGATACGCGTAAGAGTTTATCACTACTTGATACTCGTACCTGACAATAAAATTCAGAAACACAAAAATCGTAACCTTGAAGACGCAATAAACAGGAGTTAATAGGTACCTAGTTACATTTCGGTAAAAATAGTAAATCACAGCTTTTCTTGAAGTTAGGACTCGTATAAGGTAAGTTTTTGCAGTAAAATTGCAGCATCAAGAACGCTTGCATCTATGCTTTGAATATCACCCGAATCCAAAAGCATGGAACCCGAGAGCATTCCAAAATACACCAGTAATTTTCAGTAAAAACAAAATCTCGACAGACTTATGCCCAATCTCGTGCGCGAGGATGTAGACGGAGGTGAAGCCGGCGGAGGGGTAGGGCCTCCCCAGCGCGTCTGTGGTGCCGAACTCGGAGACCACGCACGCGTGAGCCGGCAGGCACACGCCACCCACCGGCGCCAGGCCCATCGTCACGCCGTTGCGCCGCCCGCCCTCCTCGGAGAAGAAGTCCAGCCTGGAACACACGATTAGGGACGTAGCGACTCTTGCTGCTGGGTTTGTTATCTTTGTCACAGAAGTAATCATTGTCTTGTCACTGTTTGTACCTTGCAGACCTTTTAAGTTAATCAGGCTAACCAGCAAATCTCATATTGAAGATCTAAGGATTTTTCCTTCAGAATGTAAATAAAATAGTTTGTAACACGATCTTAATCTTAGCTGCTTAAAGATACAGGAGAATTCCGTACAGTTTCAGCTTCTGTTTTGACTTCAGTTACAGTTTAGGTAAAGGCACCAGTTCTTGTGTACACCATTGGCCATCTATGCCTGTAGTATATTAAAAAGTGCCATTTTCCATAAACTTACCCAGACAATAACAGGGCCATATCCCAATGCTCAGGATCATCATCATCTTCAACGTTCAAAGACCTTTGGTAAGCACAGAACGCGTCCAGAAGACGCCCCCGCTCGGCGTGCGCCGGCAGCGATGGCGGTTGCGCACGTAGCAGGGTCAGGCGTACCAGGGACAACTGGATTCTGGTACCGAGAGACGAGTGCTGATATAGAGCCTGAACCTGTAATCAAAAAGAAATTACAAACCACTAAGGAATCCTTCCGCTAAAATCGCAATGCAACAAGAAAGGTGACGAAAATCTATAGGATATAGCAATCAAGATTTTGGAGTCCTATGTTAGGTGATCTCCGACAGGATTCAATGACTGCATTTTTTTAAAAGCTCTAGCTAAAGTTTTTATTAAAGCTTTAAAAAAGCTTACCCCGTTTATGTACGCCAGCAGCATATCGCGCAAATCACCTTCATTGTAATTTAGAAACGGATGGAAGAGTTTGTATCCAGCTTCGTCCAAGAAAAGTGCAATCTCGATGGTGTAGCTCGAAGGTGGTGGTTTGAAGTGTGGGTAGTGAGCTCGAGGCCGCCGAACGCGTGGTCGTAGAGGTCTCGCGTCGTCGAAAGGTGGCGCAGGCGGCGGTGCTCGTCGGATCACGTGCGCCGTTCGACCATCGCCGTTTTCCGCGCGGCCAGCGCCCGCCGGCAGAGGGCGCACTTCGTATGTAGAGTTGTCTACTACGATCAAGCCATGCTGAAAGTAAACATAATTGCCATTTGATTCCATACTCAGACAAATTTAAGTGTCTTCGTGACTTTCGGTATTTGTGTACCCGATTTTGACTTAATTTTTAGTGAAATTGCCATATTACCAGCATTTGCAGTTTCTGTAACACTATCTAGAGTTCATTGGATTCTGAAACCGTTATTAGCACAAACCAACTAAATATCTAATCTACCAAAGACATCTACTACCCTAAATATTAATCACTTTACAAACTTTAGCGCTATCTCGAAACGAAACTCATTACTACTTGATTACTTATCAAAAATTCATAGACATCGCTAAGTATTTGACTCTACTTTGAATATTTTTCAGCAGATAGGATAAAGTTAAGTTTGCGTTGAATGTCTTGATTTCATGAGGCTTTCTTACTGAAATTGCAGTAAACAACAATATACCAATGCATGGTCCCTGCACGCAGATAGGGCTGCCACTGCGCCGGCGCCCGAATGCTGGAAGTGGCAGGAGGCGTCCACGGCCGACAGTGGCTCCTCCTGGCCTCGGTCCGACCACACCTGGAACTGCGGCGACACCAGCCGCCGGTTTGGCACCAGTTGCAGCTCGAAACTCCTGAAATATTTGAAATAATGGCTTTTAATCCGTGGACCTGCCTAATAAAAAAACCTCCAAGATTATGACGTAATTAAATGTTGAATTTATATCATCGCTTATTTAAAAAAAGGTTTCTTTTTTTCATTAACCATAACCGGAAAGCGGATGTCCTTGATCTCATCTGGTGGAAATTGATGATCAGACTGAAGGTAGAAGCGAGGCTTAACCCGAAAAGTGAGTCTTCCTAAAATAAGCTTTTTGCGATACCTATTTTGTTTGTGAAACATTTAACATCCCTCTGAGTTCCACCTCCCAGAATCTCTTTAACATACCTATACCTATAGATTGACTACGAGTATTATAATCTTTTACCACCTGGAATCGAACACAAGATATCCGTCGCTATATAGTTACTTAGTTCTTTTACAGAAGTAACTCTAACTATAATTGAATACCTTCCAAAAGCATCGAAGCTGTAGGGCAAAGGGATGTCATCATACGGTCTGTCTGCTGACAGCTGTGCCTCCCGGGGCAGTAGTGCTGGCAGGTACACCACCTGCACGTCACTGTCTGGCCCGTGCTTGCCGCGCTCGTCGGTCCACCAGCCATGGAAGTAATCCTGGAAAAAACATAAAACATGTTCCTTAATTGGTCTCTCGCAAAAAGTATCTTTAATTGGTGTAAAGGACAGTCAAATGATCGTTGCTGAAACTATTTTGTGTTATTCAGTCTTTGTCCGCGGCGCTACTCGCTGTCAAGGATTTCGCACACTTCCCACGGAGATTATGAATTTTAGTTTACTAATTGGTTCTAGTTTATAAGTTCGGGGAACTTTGCATCATTCGTTATTTAGGAAATTGCAAAAATACTTACGCAATAAACCTCGCCATAGTCTCGCAAATCGCATAGTCAATTAATGATGTTTGGAGACCTAATTTTTAAAGGTGATTCATATTTTTTGTTAATTAATATAATGAGTTGTCTGTCGCCGCGCTTCGGCATTGAAACTAGGTTGGACATCTTTTGAAAGTTGGTTGCGTGAGGATTGGCACAAAAAATAACAGGATAATAATTATAGAAGGTAGGTGTACTTTCNCGGCGCAGGCGGCGGTGCTCGTCGGATCACGTGCGCCGTTCGACCATCGCCGTTTTCCGCGCGACCAGCGCCCGCCGGCAGAGGGCGCACTTCGTATGTAGAGTTGTCTACTACGATCAAGCCATGCTGAAAGTAAGAAACACAGTTGCTATTGATAGTTAGGTGATCATTTGCATCATTTGATTCCATACTCAGACAAACCTAAGTGTCTTTGTGACTTTCGGTATTTGTGTAGGTACCCGGTTTTGACTTAATTTTCAGTGGAGTTGCCACACTCACACCAGCATTTGCAGTTTCTGTAACACTCTATCTAGAGTTCATTAATTGAATTCTGAAACCGTAATTAGCACAAACCAACTAAATATCTAATCTACCAAAGACATCTACCTACTACACTAAATATTAATCACTTTACAAACTTTGGCGCTATCCTGAAACTCATTACTACTTGATTACTTATCAAAAATTCATAGACATCGCTAAGTATTTGACTCTACTTTGAATATTAGCAGCAGATAGGATAAAGTTAAGTTTGCGTTGAATGCCTTGATTTCATGAGGCTTTCTTACTGAAATTGCAGTAAACAACAATATACCAATGCATGGTCCCTGCACGCGGAGAGCGCTGCAACGGCACCGGCTCCCGAGTGCTGGAAGTGACAGGAGGCGTCCACAACCGACAGTGGCTCCTCCTGCCCGCGGTCGGACCACACCTGGAACTGCGGAGACACCAGCCGCCGGTTTGGCACCAGTTGCAGCTCGAAACTCCTGAAATGTGTGAAATATTGGCTTAAAATTCTCGAAAATTATGCAATGCTGCTTTTTTCTTTTTTTGTCTTTAACCAATACGACAAAGATTTTATCTGATGGAATATTATGTGACAGAAGGATTAAACATAAAAGAAGCGAGTTTCCCAAAAAGTGAGCCTTCCTTAAAGTAAAGGTTGGCTGGTAGAGACATATAACAAGCTTTGGGACATGACTTCGGTGTCCTGTAACTATCTAGCTGAAATGATGATAATGATGATGAACTTATATTATTACCTTCCGAAAGCATCGAAGCTGTAGGGCAAAGGGATGTCATTATCATACGGTCTGTCTGCTGACAGCTGTGCCTCTCGGGGCAGGAGTGCTGGCAGGTACACCACCTGCACGTCACTGTCTGGCCCGTGCTTGCCGCGCTCGTCGGTCCACCAGCCATGGAAGTAATCCTGGAAAAAACATAAAACATGTTCCTTAATTGGTCTCTCGCAAAAAGTATCTTTAATTGTTGTAAAGGACAGTCAAATGATCGTTGCTGAAACTATTTTGTGTTATTTAGCCTTTGTCCGCGTCGCTACTCGCTGTCAAGGATTTCGCACACTTCACACGGAGATATGAATTTTAATTTACTAATCAGTACTAGTTCGGGGAACTTTGCATCATTCGTTGTTTAGGAAGTTGCAAAAATACTTACACAATAAACCTCGCCATAGTCTCGCAAATCGCATAGTCATTTAATGATGTTTGGAGACCTAATTTTTAAAGGTGATTCATATTTTTTGTTAATTAATTTAATTAGTTGTCGCCGCGCTACGGCGTTGAAACTAGGTTGAACATCTTTTGAAAGTTGGTCGCGTGAGGATTGGCACAAAAAATAACAGGATAATACTTAATTATAGAAGGTACTTTCTTTCCTGTCATCACCCAGCGTGACTGTGTTAATGAGTCACTGGGCACACAATGTAAATTAACGGTATTGTATAAAATCCACAAAGTAGACAATAAAAATATTGCTAAGTATATCAGAGAGCTTATAAAAAGACGTGACACATTCGATTTCTAATAAGTACTAGTTAACTGCGTCTGCCCACGTTAAAGCTTGACCGATAAAATTAAGTCTCGTTGCGGATTACTCAGCAAAACTACTATTTGGCGTCATTGTTTGACAATGCAATCGATGTAGGTATCAGGAACGCGTCAAAGCGTGCGCATGCCACTCAATGAGCAGATGATGAATGTGAGTGATAACGAGGTCGGCCGGGGCGGTGACAACACGCACGCGCCTCTCTCGCTGCCTCACACCATCGCCACTAACGCGCCATTTTGATTNCTTTGATTATTAAAACTAATAAAAGACGTGGGAACGTTCACGAGCACGACACTTATCTATCACTTACCAAGTGTGTACATAATTTAAATGGGGCTATGCGAATCCACCCAAGGATGAGCGGTGTCAAGTGATCTCAAACTGAATCGAGGACGTGCTGCCGAGTTGAAATCAATAATATTAAAATCTGGCAGCTTTTATGTAAGAGGTAGGTACTTACATTAAATCGAGAACTCTATGATCAGCTCTAGTACGTTCCCGTTATAAAAGAATAAATATATGCCGCTGGATAGGAAGGATTCCCCAAATAAAAGGTTCCGAGATAAAGATAATATTCATCTCAATTCTCAATGACACTCGTACACTAATCATCGCATTTTGTTGACGAATTTGGTATGAGAAAATATGCATCATGTAATAGAATACACTTAAGTATACCTTGACTGCGAGTGAAAGGTGAGTTTTTGTTTACGCTGTCATATTCATTACAGTGGAAACGTTTTTCTATTCACTCCAGCTCTATTATGTAATGAGCATTGCAACTAATGAGAAGATAATTGTGAGTAATGTGACATAAACTGTATAACCGATTTTCTAAACATCTAAATATAAATAAATGGTTACTGCTATTTCAAAACATCGCAGACTCAAAATTTGTAAACATCTCACTAAAAGCTTGGCGGTCAGCTAGGTACATAGGTCCTGTTTGGAGTTACGAAGCAGTGAAAATGAAGGTGAGAAGCAATGGTGAGAATTACTGTCACTTAAAATGTTGACAATTGGAAATATAAACACCACGATCTTCCAGTTAGCAAGAGTAGCGATTATTAGAAGCTAAATTACTTGTCTAAATACAGTAGGCAGTATAGTGACTTATCTTTAATAGAAATAAATTTATCTAAGTTTTTGTATTGGTTTCCAGGATAGTTAATAGCTTTCAATAAATATTTCACAAAAAGTGGTATGGTACATAGATGAGCATAGATGTACGTAAATTAAGTTATTCTTCTTCTTTTCGTGTCGACAACAAACCTACACAGTGTCAGCCCAAAACTCCGCCACAAGAGTGGCGTTGTCAGTAGCACTCATCAAATCCTCCTGAGTGCAGTTGCTTGGGCACTCAGGGCATGACATCAGGTTATTGATATGTGACAATGTTATTTGACCATGAAAATTATGAATAGATCGTAACATGTAGTATCACATGTTATCCATGTGACTTGTAGCACAGTACATAAATTATAATATACTGTGTTTGTAGGTAGGTAAGTAAAACTGATGGTGATGAGAGAAACCGAAATGAACCACGAAAACACCACGTGAGTCAGCTAAGTGTTGGCTCTACATTAGCGGATGTGAGCGAACTAAGGGGAAAGTAAAACTTATTTGTTTTTCCTTTTCTTTGAAGACAATGCTGTCCGAATTACAGTCGAGCACTCGCTTTTTCGGATACAATTATGTATTACGTCTGCATACGTATGATGATGAAAGTATTCTGAGCCGATCAATATCCATTAGGTCTAAGTATTGTGTGTGACTCATTTCGTCAAAGTGTGTTGGACCTCAGGAGAATTTAAGATGTTGAAAATTAGTTACCCGAATCTTACATTGTTTACGGACTGCGATTTACATGCTATTTTAATAGAAGGCTGAATTGACAGCTCTTAAAAATTAAAGCATATTTTAAGAATGAAGTGTTTATTTCTGTGCAATTTTTTTGCTGCACCTCAAGGAGCGATGCCAGAATTACTTTCTGACGCAAGATTTTTTTCAGTTACGCATGTTGTCTATACTTTATCGAACAGTCTCATTGAAGCGCGCGTCTCTGAAACGACTGCCCGTAAATGAAACCGAACTGTGGTGACTCATAGAAACCGATTGAAAAACTACGTGACATTTACGGTTGTGTAACTTGCTACGTGATCCAGCACGGTAAAGTCCCAAACTCCAATTTATTATGTAATATAATTGCCAAAATAAAATTGAACATCACCTAGATACGGACGCATCAGAATTCGGTGAAAGTTGTTGTATAGCACGTGCCTCAATTTACTATTATGATGTCTGATGTAATGTATTCTAAGAATGTATTATTACCTATAGGTTTCCTGCAAAGTTTAGATGAATTTCCAGGTACAAGAAGTTGATTTCCCGGTTTGATCAATTTAAAGCGATACTCTTATTTTCTTATTTACTTACCACTCCGCATGTGCTCTGTACAAATGAGCTTTGATAGATACACCCCGACTAATAAAAATTACGTGTAATTTAAATACTAAAGTAGGCAGATATGCATTTAGTATGCTAGTAAGTAAGACACATCGCCTTTGATTTCATATTACACTAACTTACCTAAGTATCCGCTCTACATGAGGTTACATCGGTTGCGTATTTATCTAAAGGTTTTCTCACAATGTTTTCAATCTTTATAGTTATGCATAGGNGGGGGGGGCGGTGGGGGCGGTCCGCCCCGGGTGCCAAGCATCAGGGGGTGACAAAAGTTGCGCGCAGATTAGTACTCACAGTCTGACATAAGGATTATGTCATGATGGGGGGGGGGTGCGATATTGGTATCGTATAGCTAATTCGTACTAAACATCTTTCATCTTCGAATCGGTAACCCAAAAATCCTAGGGGGCACCAGACCAGACCATTCTGGGGTGCCATAGCCCCCAGCCCCAAAAAAAAGGGGGGGGGGCGGTCCGGGTGCCAAGCCATGCTACGCCGCCACTGAACCAACAAAACCAACCAACAAAAACAATATTTTAAGTGTGCATTAAGGAAACTTGAATTAACTTTTTATGGTTGCCAAATAAAAACAAAGAAGTACCACCTACTTACTTAGGTATGCGTTTTTTTTCAGGTTTTCCGCGAACAGGAAACGGTTCTAACGGAATTGTGCGAAGGTTAGGTGTTACTTTGCATAATTTTGTTGGACAGCCTTTTGCTTTCTTCTCGTAAAATCATTTGTTTTTGCTTTTGAAGCGTAAGTCAAATAAATATCTTTTGACACCCACTTAGGTACACAACAACCATTGTTTCTTTCATCTCGCTATTGAATCCACCAGTCATGTACTAAGCTAAGGCTTTAAACTTGACCTGACTAGGATACAAAGTTAATATTATCTTCGCAAAAACACATATCGTAAGTAGGTAAGTATATTGAATACAGTAACTAATACAGACACGTTCATGAAGTCAAATGTTTGTATTGTTCTGTAGAAAGAAAAAATATCTTTGTATGCAGGAGATTTGTACTTTATCCAATTTATAAAGATTCAATACCGTTCATGTATTTTCATTTTAATATAGTACAAAAAATTGCCATTAAAAATTTGAGCTTAGTACAAATATTTTCTTTTGTAAATATTTCAAATATCGAGGAAAAATCAAAGTAAAACGATATCCTGAAGCGCCGCCCGCCCAACTTTACGCCTAGTTGGGCGGACGATTGCACACAATATAAATACTTACGGGAAAACGCGCAGGCGCACCGGCTCGTAGCACGAAGAGTAGAGCTACAGTCACTATCTCAGCTCTTGGCGCCATTTCTCACATCGCACACTCAAAGCTGCTCCTCGAATCCCGCCTAACACTCGCTGCACTAATTTATAAGCACGCCCTCGGAAGTCGCATGCAGGTGTTTTGAATATCAGCAAAGCGCGATGCACTTCAAGACACGAAACGAATTCAATTGCGATATCGGTGATGCGATTAGAACGCGTACACTTATGCGGCGCCAGCTACCGAATAAAGCATTGTGAGCCCCCAAATGTACACCTTTCGCACCTTGAAGAGAAAGTCGAAGGAAAGTGCAGATTTTGGCTGTCAAGACACCGCCCACACGCGTCCCCGGAGGAGCATTGTCGCGAGTCATCCATCACCGGAGCCCAACGCGCGCTGCGGCCGGCGGCGAGCGCTAATCAAAACAAATGAACAATATCGACGCGGCTGCGGCACGACCGCGTGCTACCTCGCGAGTTTCACGTACGCACGGCTCATATTTGCTCATCAGGGAGCAAGCTGCATTTATTTACAATGTATTCGACGATATCATCTTATCATTTATTAACTAGACTTTCGTCTAGAGTCACTGTAAGTATTTTACCGGAAATAAAACATAATGCGTTCTCGTCGCACTCATTTATTTTGTGCTGTGCCTCATGGTGTCTACAATAAAAGTAAATGAAGCAATATGATTAGGCACATAATGTCTGAATTGCATGAGTTTTGATGAAAAAGCTTGCAGTCAGGGACATTAAATTCCTGTAATGTATTCAATGTAGAGCCATTTGCAACGGCTGCGAGTACTTAAGTATTCGTCAAAACATAAACTTTGTATTTAGTAAGGACCTCCTAATAGATTTATATACCTAATATCGGCTCTGAGTACCTACTTATTATATTAATAGGTATTTAGATATTGACTGAATAGTTTATTGCCAACCCAATGTTCTTAAAGGTGATGTCAATTATTGTGAGATAACTTTTAATTACTTGGTTACAGTCACGGTCAATGACACAAAACTTTTATCAGTGTATTGTCAAGAAATATGCAATGCCCGCATTTTGTGTCTTGCCGCCTGCAGGGCATATGACACCCCGACGCATGTAAATGCAAATATTTATGTAATTAGTCTTACTTCATAAGAGCTATTGGTACCTAAAATACATACTTATTATAGAATTAAATCTGAATTGTATGACTGTCAGATTTAGGTACTTCAATGACAAACAAACTTGAGTATCTACCAGCCCCCCTAGACAAAACGCACTTTTTGATCGAATCGAAAATCGAATCCGTCAAATTCCATACAAAAAAGGGGCTTTTCGACCACTTTTCGACTGGTTTGCGATTATAATGGCACTTTGTCTAGACCCACTGCTTATTCATTTCATTACCAACCAAGTGAACTTTAGTAAGCTACAGAAATAGCCAAGGCGGTAAGAACTTCATAAAAATAACCAATATAAATTAATAGGTATTTCCGAAAAAGTAAGGGGAGTTCAGCGTTTTTAGACGCAATGTTCTAGTTTTTCTGGCTAGAAAATTATTGTTTTGTCAGAAAATTATAGCCCAAACCAAATAACATGTTAAAATTACACTTTCAGAAAATAAAAGATTGTAAATCAAAATATGGCAACTATGATCTCTAGTAGGGTCCTCATCCGAGATCATGTAGAGCACGTGTAGAGTCAATTGAGTATTCTTTACTTAAAATTATTTGATTATTTACACAAACAAATCTTGGGTACACAGTTAACTTCGACCTTTCTCGTTGTCGATAGAAAGCTCATAGTCATTAAGTAGCTGATAGCATGCATGCATGCATGGTCATTAGTTAAGTGTTCAGCTAATTCTAGGAAATTAAGAAGATACCTTTGACTAAGTACAATGATTTATCTAATAAAGGATTTATAATAAGTTTCCTTGTGTTTTTAATTAAAATAATAGCCAATCCAATCACAGGAAAGTCTATAAATAGCGCACACACATTGGAATCGAAACTCCTAAAGAATTTGCACATACCTACTCATTGGCGACACGCCGGTAGTGGTTAACGGACATTGAATATTAATGAGTGTTCAGTGAACACTGTTCACAGTTATAGCCCTTCGTTTTTATCATTTTCTTTGCAATCTCCGGCATATCTAGGTTTTAGAATTCTAGACGAATAAGAAGAAAGTGGTTGGACGAGTTAAGTTCTGGAACTCCAATGCCACGGGATACGACAATTTTAGAATAGTTCCATAACAGCAAAAAAAGCTGCGATAAGTACAAAGCAAGAAAAGTTAGGAAGCCATTATTTTGCGTGTAAATGCTTTATTAACCATTTACCATACCTACCACCAACCAACCAATAACCAATCAACTTCTTAAATTCGTATAAAATTTATTTCATACGACTTAATTATTTATGTAAGTAGGTATTATTACAAATATGAATAATGTTCTTGATTAAGTACAATGAAAAAAATATCTACTGAAGGGTTTTTGGGAGTTTTCAGTCACACAATGAATGACCTATTATCTGAAAAGTTGTTGAAAGTTTAAACGTAACGATCAAGTTTTTTAGTTAATTAAACTCGTTATTTGCATTTAATGAATGCGCTTAATTTTGGGACTGAAAAAAGTAGATCTACCGAAAACGGAAACTTTTTAATTAGGTAAAGTTGTGTTTCGTAGGATTTGACCGCCTTTTGAAACTTGCTTTGTACGCACTCTTTAGGTGCCTTAGCCCTGCCTGCACATGTTTCGTGCGATGGTGATTCATGCTAAAGAAAAAAAAGTACGGACGGAGGGACTGAGTGAGAACGCGGGTGACGCGTAGTCCGCGAGTCATTGATCCCGACACGGTCCCGGACTGCCGACGCCATGTCGAAGGAGCTCGCGTATTTGCCTCTCGTCCCGCCGCTCGCTGTCGCGATATACGTCGCCTGCGTCGCCGGCGCCGGCGCCCTAGCTAATTGCTCAGTCTTAGCAGCACTTCTTAAATCATCTCGAAATGGTACGTAAATAAGTACATTTTTAAAACCTAAAAGGAATGAAACAGTTATTATTTTCAGTAGCAAATAAACAAAGTATGTACTAAGTAGATAATCCTATTCTTTTCAGGTTTGTGCTCTATCATCATACAACTCGCCGCAGCGGATTTTTTGATCATAGCGACGTCAGCTCTACCCGAAATGTGGTTTTATAACTCTGGAACATGGAACTTCGGGAAAAGCAGCTGTATTGCATACCGAGGGTTAAATGTGTTTGCATCGACAGCATCGTCATACTTAACTGCCACAGTAGCGCTACATACAATTGCATCGCTAAATTTAGAAGAAAAATTCGCGGCAAAGAGGCTTAAACGACATAACGAAGATGAAAGCGAAGAAATGGGATCATCGCACCATAGTCTGATGGCCAGCAGTGACACCTCTACTCCACCTCGGACAATGAATGTCGATTATCGCCTTATGGACAAAAGAGTACGGGTGACACCGCCCACTGCCTTCGTGTGGATATTATCGGCGTCCCTCAGCATACCTGAATTTGCTTTGGCTAGCACAGTGCACCTGAACCAAGGTACCATTCTGTGCACAGCCATTGACTCACATCACAGACTTAATATGCATTCGTTACTTGCTGCATTCAATCTGTTTTTGCCGTCACTGTTGATGATGTTTGCAGCAATACTGATAGTCGTTAAACTAAAATCTAAACATCTCCCAGAACTAGATATCTGTGACGCGAACTCAGCTCTGAAGTTATCATTGTGTTTATTAATAGTGTATGGTGTATTATGTGCTCCGCGTTCAGTTTCTACAGTTTACCATGTTTATTCAAGATCTTACGACGAAAGTCAAACACCTTCATTTGATACTGAGCTATTGGATCACACAACAGCGACGATAAGGTTAGCCCTAAGCGGTGCTTATGTAGCCGCTACTCTAATTCGGCCTTTATTGTATGTAATATTGTTACCGAAAATAAGAAACGTGTTTTCATTTGGTTCTCGAAATAGGGAAAAAGTATGAATAACTTTAATAACGTATAATATAAACTCTACCTAAGTTGGATTTAAAGGATGTTTTTACAACGTGATAAATACAATATTCATAGTATAAGTATAAAGCCACCAACTGAAAAACATTGTTCTTTGTAGACGATATTTTTATGTATTTGGTACGAGTATAAAAACAGTATGCCTGCCAAATAATTTGATTTTCTATTATGATTTATAATTAAATATTAGATAAAATATATTAAACAACTTTTTCATCTCTATAGATTGTGTTAAAGCTTTTCAGTGAAGGAGTGGGTAACAAATGTAACAATTGCCTCGCATCCCTAAGACCGCCTAAATTGTGAATTTTTTATTTTCTTGTGTTGTGTGATGTTCAATGAAGCATTTCACTAACTCCTCTAAGATGTGTTAAGAAAAACAATAAACAATCCATAAAATAGAAAAAATATCTACCTCAGTAGCTTAGTCGTCAGTTCGCCTTTTGTACCCTGTTGCAATGTGCAAATAAGCTTTAATTATTTAGATAGAGAAACCTAACCTAGTGAAGGGTTAGGGCGTTTCCCTTTTCGTGTATGGGTCTTAAGAGAACTAGAGAATTATGATGCCTACCAGCCTAGCTATACCGGATACCGCTATACCTAGGTTTGCGGTACCTACCTACCAAGTCGCAGTCCAGTACCTCTAGCATGAACAACTTTCGTCGTGGAATCGTTTGCGTATTCGACAATCGATACTCAACCTTCGAATTAAACGATTACGTGACAATTATTTTGATTTTCAAAATAAGTTTCGTGCAACCATTTCTCATACTATAAGTATTACTATGTAAGTTCACTTTACGACATGTTCACAATGGCGCTGTTGTAGTTTTCGCACTAAGCCTATGCGCAGACCATTGATTTTTCGTCGGCCGATAGTTTAGTCGGGCATGTATGGAAGTGCGCACATTAGGTAGCTACCTACACCGATTTGATTTGGCCGATTCTTCATACAAATTAAAATCGGGCCCAACTATAGGCCAACTAAAAATGGGGCACACTGAAAACCAGCGCCGTGGCCTTCGTCACCGTAGGCCACGGCATATGCTGAGTGGGGTCCCGTTGCAGTGGGCATCTTGTTGGTGAATGGGTGGCACTGCTCAGTTTACTCGTTTTTTTTATTTTTTTCTTTTTCCATTATTATATGCCACTGTCATGTCAATGTAATAGCCTGTATTTGTGTGATGTCCATTGTAATAAATGTATCTTTCTTTCTTTCTAAAAATCGATGGTCTGCGCCTAGGCTAAATCTTTTGATAGCGATTCGAATAAGTACGCAAATAAATGATTTCAACTGGAAAGTAAGTATAGTATTTCGTGCTAGCCGTATCGTATACCTAATGTAGACTTGGTTAAAATTTTAATTCTAAACCATTTGGCAAACATAACCTTTTTGTGATTTTGCAACCAAATACAATTCTGATATAACTTAATTGAAATTGTAATAGAATGTCATGATTTTGTTATAAATTCCCTTTTTAAGGTCGCCCCTTTGTGTGAAAAGAATGTACTTTCTCTAAAACTAGTGTGGATATCATGGCTATTTGTAGTCATTTTATCTGTAGCTTCATGTTTGTATAGTCCAGTCAATGAATGCCTTAACGACGGTGTAGAGAGAAATCCGTCGAACACAATTTCTGACCTCGGGGACTTTATTTAGCCTAGTTAGGTGGTGAACATAGCAAAAGTCCCCGCCCTTAGCCCTTGAGCCGGCGGGGAGAGGGGGGTTTAAAGGTACCACTTTTCGGTTTTTCGCTTAATCCTTGGAAGTTATGCGTCCTAGTGACATGACTACTATGAACCAAAAAAAGCTTATTCAATTTGCTACAGGTGAGACCGNTACAGAATAAAAGCTCTAGTAAAGTGAGCCCTCAGGCCACACGTTTCAGAAAAAAGTTATCATATTTAGAGACAAGGTGGAAGGTGTATTAATTTACACATAATACTATAAAAACGTAGTCATTTCGTAGTACAAACTTAAGTATATGTGTGGTGTGTAAATATTTCCTTTCATGAAATAAAACTGACTCATTTATGTGTGAACAAAATATTCGTATTAGGGTAACCACACATCAGAAAATTAATGGATAACTAGAAAAAGTGTCCCTACACAACCAATACCACGATTTAAAAAATTTAAGATAAAGTTGTACTGTTAAACATTTCTATAGATAGAGCATAATAAAACAAAGTACACTGATAACAAAATTACCATGTATACAGTGCGATTTTCACTCAATCGTCGAATTCAACTCGGCTGGGCAGCGTCTGCCGCGGGAAGCTTCGCGATATTCTCACGTCCGAAATACCGCAGTGTCTTAAGAACTGTGCCACAGCGTACTGAAGGAGATATCCGAAAGTGGGGATTGTCTACTGATCGGCCACATGCTCAGAGCCCCGATTACGGTAACTTATAACGTCAACAATCCAGACACGCTTCTCGATTCTGCGATACGATTGGTCGTTCAACAGCGTACGTCAGCTGTTTTGACCAATCGTATTGCAGAATCAGAAACGCGTCTGGATTGTAGACGTTAAAAGTTACCGTAATCGGGGTGCAGCAGGACGAGATCGGTTGTAGAAATAAGATACTAACATTCAATTCCTAAGTTTTTACTAACATTTATGGTTCTCTGTTATCTGAAATAAATACTTTTTATATTATTTTATTTATTTAAGACTGACCAGTGTGTGTTGCCAGTGATGGTATACGGATCTGAGACGTGGTTGTTTACTATGGGCCTCATGAAGGCTCAAGGTCACCCAAAGGGCCATGGAGCGAGCTATGCTCGGAGTTTCCCTACGTGATCGAATCAGAAATGAGGAGATTCGTAGGAGAACCAAAGTGACTGATTCGTAGGAGAATCAAAGTGACTGATTCGTAGGAGAACCAAAGTGACTGACATAGTCCGCAGAATCGCTAAAATCAAGTGGCAGCTTGGGCGGGGCATACGTAGCTCGTAGAGCTGATGGCCGCTGGGTCAGGAAAGTACTTGACTTACTTGTAATGGCGACGAGGAGCCGGAAGACGTAGCGTGGCAGGACCGACGATTTGGTGAAGGTCGCAGGAGGTACCTGGATGCGAGCGGCACAGGACTGGCCATTGTGGAAATCTTTGGGGGAGGCCTTTGACCAGCAGCGGACGTCTTTTGGCTGAAACGAACGAACGATTCACTGCTACTGATTAATGAACCGCNGTAACGTGCTAATTTTGGGACACCATGATATTAACGTACCTACTATTATTAAATACTGATTATAATACTGAGAAGTATACAGGGTGGAAACGATAAGTGATCTCACTCGATTATTTCTAAACTATACAAGATATCAATAAACTAGTTAGGTACTGATCCTGAAAGTGCTTCATGAGCTCTATCAAACGGTATTAATAATAGGTTACAGAATAAACTGGATCTATCCGAAAATTCAATGTTTCCAGCTTCCATACATTNAAATTGATTTATTCATATAGTTTAGACATTTTAAAGAAGTGGTAAATAGTTTACCACTGTCCGATCCCATCTTGACAAAAGTTTGGTGATATATAAAAATATAGCCTGACCAGGAACATAAAAACCCTGGCATAGAGGCGCNTTTTCACCCGCCAGAATGGGTGATAATGGGTAAAAACCGGGTTTTTACCCAAATCACCCGGTTTAAACCCAATCGGGTGAAATGGGTTTTTACCCACTACCCATCTCTACTCCTAACTAGTCTAAATAAAGTCCTGAAGTCAGAAATTGTGTTCTACAGTTTTCCATCTATAATGCTTTATTGACTGGACTAGTAGTGTTTAATCATTTTCAGGGCTAAGATTGTCACCATAAAGACGGAACCACTGAGATCTAGTGTTGCCATATGAAAAATTGATAAAAATCAATAGCGCTCTCGAGCGTTGTGATACTTGTGATGCAGATTTTTTCCTAATAGCAAGCCTACAAAAACTTTGCGTCCAATAACGAAAATTCTGGAATCTCGCTGGTAAAACAATGATTTTTTGGCAAAATTATTACATACGCCGGCACATCAGTCGATGCAGTCTTATGTAGATTTTGGCAACAAAAATGTATAGCCTGGTGTACAGTTGACACATGCAACAGGTGCAAATAAATAAATAGGCACGCTTTTTCGTCGGGATTGCATAAATAATGGAATAACCGGCCAGAGGGTGGTGGTGGGTTAATGTAGGATTCTCCCACCAGTAGGGCCTACCCACTCAAACCTGAAGATGTCCTCCGAATCATAATGGGACGAGACTGAGTTCAGGGTTAGGTTGTATAGCGGCTCCAACAAGCCTCATATGTACATACCTTTCTTACGCAAAATGTTTCAGTTGCTGGTAACGAATCAGTGTAGGTAGATTTATAAATTCCAGATTGAAATTCCCGAATTTTTGATGTAGGTCAATGGAATGTTAGTAGTAGCTGTGGTAGTAGTAGTAACGTTTTATGCAGCAATACAGATAGTGAGCTTAAGGACCTCCCCGATATCGAGGATGAGTTCAAAAGGGGTGTTATAATATTAAATGTTCGTAGAAGTGTTATATTATGTAGGTGTGTCTGTTGTGCAAATTATTGAGTGGAGGAGCAGATGCGCGCGCAATCAATTTGCAGCCCCTGTTCTATGGCTCTACATACAGGTAGATTGTACGAGGGTGGGGCCATAAGGGCAGCTCGGTAACAGTTCGTACAGGAAAACGTTCAAACATTGGAAGAAAGATCGTATGCATTTAATATTTTTTAAAATTTAGTTTGCAAAAAATGCAGATGCTTTGTCTCTACAAAACTAGGTTGAAATTTTTTCTAGAAAAAACAATGTTCGCTTACTACTCCGAACATTTTTCCTGCAACTTCAACGAAGGTACCTTTATGCCCCGTCTCAATTATCCACCCTTATGTATACTTGATAGGTAGGAGCCAATAACCTAACCCTAAACTCATACCTCGGGCGGGGGCTCATGAAATTTGAGAATATTATTTATATTTAGACAAACATCTTTTTGGGGTTAATAGGTGGCGGTTTATTTAATATTGATTCTAAAACTAAAAATTGTATTTAATACAA